CACACCAAAGGGGATATTATTCAGCCTTAAAAAAAAAAAAAAAAAAAAAAAAAAAGTGATACATGCTCCAACATGGATGAATCTGAGGACGTGCTGCTGACTGAAATAAGCCAGACACAAAAGAAAAAATACTATATGATAGTATTATCTGCAGTATTATCTGCAGTAGTTATCTGCAGTAGTCAGATTCATAGAGACAGAAAGTAGGTGGGTGGTTGCCAGGGGCTGAGGGAGGGGAGGATGGGGCGTTAGTGTTTAATGAATAGACTTTCAGCTCTGCAGGATGAAGAGTTCTAGAGATGGATGGGGTGATGGCTGTACAGCAATGTGAATGTACTTAATGCCACTGAACTGTACACTTAAAAATGGTTAAGATGGTACGTTTCGTGTTATGTGTATTTTACCATAACTTAAAAAATAATAAAGAAAAATAATTTTTAATGAGATGAATTCTGTTGATAAATACTCTAAATGTAGTTCGATCCAAGGTAATACATAGTGAAACTGCTAGTTCCCTTTTTCTATCTCCTATAACCAATACAGCCTAAAAAAAAAAAAAGCAGTAATTCTCAAAGTATATAGTCTGGAGACCTTTTGGGGGCCCTGAGGCCCTTTCAGGGAATCCATGACAAAAAACTTTTGTAACAATACTAACTTGTTACATATCCTCTTTATTCTCATAAGCGTACAGTGGAGTTTTCCAGAGGCTCCAATAACATGTGACATCCCAACAGACTGAACGCAGAAGCAGGTAGGAGAATCCATCTATTAAGCCAGACATAAAAGAGGTTTGAAAAATGTAAAACAATGCTATACTTCTCACTAAATTTTTAAGGAAAATAAAGATTATTTAAAAAAATAAAAAGATGTTATTTATATCAACATGGGCACATTATCCTTTTTTAACGAATCGACAGTTTTAAATTTCAATATCTCGTATGGTAAATACCAGTAGATATAACCCACATGAACTAAAGCTCTTTGAGGTCCCTAAAAATCTGTAAGAGTGCAGAGGGGGCCTGGGATCAGAAAACTGGAGAATCACTGTTAAAAGGGAAGCTTAGCGAGATAGTCGATGCCCTGCGCGATCCCCTCCAGCCACTCTTGACTGGAGCCAGCCGCCCAGAGGTCTCTAATTCACTGAGAAGGACGGCTGCCCGCCCATCACTACCTGGGAAGTGGCTGGATTACCCCCCTCCTCGGGGCTATGGTCGTTGTTCTCAAGGTGTGGCTCCAGGACCTCACTGAAGAAATGTGAATCCTTTGGCCCCATCAAAAACCTACTGAATCTGAACTCTGGAGGCGGTGTCCAGGGATCTGTGTCATAACTAGCCTTCCAGGTGATTCTGAAGCACACTGACATTTGAGGTTCATCGGACTAGACAGTCACAGAAATTGACTGAGAATCACAGAAGACAGCTGTCAGAGCTGGGAGGTTATGTGCACAGGGGTCACCTGGGGGACCTGGTTAAAAACGCATATTCTCATTGGGCAGATCACAAAGGGGGCCAGTGAGTTTGCATTTCTAGCAAACTCCCAGGTGACACTGATGCTGCTGCCCGCCCCCTCCCCGACTCCGCACCTCACCTGAAAGCCCAGGGCCATCCAGTTCAGCACCTCTTAGCCTTTATCGAACTGCTAAGGTTCTGATGAAAGTTAGGGACTCTTCCTGGAAAAATGCGTGCGCCTATTAAACTCTGGGGGCAGTTGCCAGATGTTCCAGACCTTCTGAAGTTCACCTAAAGGATCACTGACTCTTTTGTTACCCTCTCTTTCTCATCTCATGACATTTATCCCTGAGTTAAGGGGTTTCATAAGCATCTTCAGTCACTCGTTCCCTCAGGCTGGCAGCCCCTTCTCTCTCAGATCCCCCCACCCAAATCCTACTCACTTCCCTGGGTCCAGTTCAAATGCTCCTTCCTTTGCTAAAAGTTAAGTGTGTTTTCTTGTGGGCTCCCAGAGTAAGCTGCACCTCCATTACAGTCCTTTCTGCTGCCTTATTACCTGGGTGTCTGTTACGTGCCTGTCTCCCCAAGAGTCATTTAAGCCCTCAAAAGTTGTCACTCATCTCTAGATGTCCCCCGAAACTGGCACACAATAGATGGTGCATAGCTACTTGCTGGATGAGCCAGTTCTTTACAATTGACACTGGTCAAAACATTTCTGACATTTCAACAGATTTGTCAGGCTCCAGCCCTCCCCCCAGTTGCGGGCCACCTCTGTTTTGCAGCAGTTAGGAGTCTTCTTACGAATGTCCAATTCAAAAAGATAAGAAAGAAAATGGAAAAAAGAGGTGGAAGAGAAAGAAGCGAGCACACAACCCCAAGCCCTCCCTCTCCCTCTGGATGCTGCATGTGTGGCACCACAGCAGTGGGAGCCAGAGTGTCAAGAGCCTGTCGTAACCTATCCACAGGGCCTGGGGGCTGGGCCAGGGGAGAAGGCAGACAGGTGAGAGCAACTCTGACGCATGGGGCACTCGAGGTGATGGCAGAGCCGGGTGGGGTCGCGTCCTCTGGGCACACAGAGGGCAGTGGGAGGGGGTTGGGTTTTGGGGGCTGGGGACCAAGCAGAGCCAGAGATTGAGAAAGGGTCAGCTAAGAGGTGACAGGGACCCAAACACCAGCTTCACAGTTTTATTTGGGGCTGTTTCCTTCCCAATCCCTGAAGGCTGAGGCAGCTGCCACTCAAGAACCTAGAGCCAGCACTCCACCACCGGATGCTTCTCACCAGTCTGAGATGCACCTGAGTGATGCAAACACCTGGGAAAGGGTGACAGGCAGTGCATCGCACCTTGGTCTGGGAGGCTGACTTCTAGTCCAGCCGAAAGAATTAGATGGGGGCCCCCTACGATAAGCGTTAAACCTACAACAACTCTCTACTAATTCCGACATCGACTACAAACTTGGGGCTGCTTTCCGGGCCTTGCACAAGGACACGTCCTCCTTCCTGTCCCATGAGCCCGGGTCTCATTCCAAATAAGTCAGTTTCTCACAGTCCCCACCCTTCACCCTCATGGTCCCCACCTGTTACAAGCTGAATTGTGTCTCCCCCAAATTCCTATGAAGTCCTAACTCCTAGTACCTCAGAACGTGACTGGATTTGGAGATAAGGTCTTTAAAGAGGTAATTAAAGTAAAATGAGGTAATTAAGGTGGGCCTGATCCAATGTGACTGGTGTCCTTATAAGAAGAGGAAATCTGGACAGGGACACACACATACAGAGGAAATGCCATGGTGAAGACACAGCAAGAAGAGGGCCATGTACAAACCAAGGAGAACAGCTTTAGAAGAAACCAACTGTGTAGACACCTTGATCTCGGATTTCTGGCCCCTAGAACAGTGAGATAATAAATTTTGCTGTTTAAGCCCCTCAGGCTGTGGCACTTTGTTATGGCAGCCCTAGCTGACTAACATACCATCTAAATCATCTTTATCATTCAAGATCAAGGTCACTTGAAACTAATTCAAGACACTGTGATTCAATTCAAGCCAAAGGAAGCTCATTAGCTGTCCATACTCTGGGCTGTGGCAGTGGGGCTCTGGCCTCAGTGGAGGGTGTGATACCCAAGCATCTTGTTATGACGTTGCTGGAGGCTCCTGGTGTCTTACTGAATGAGTCAGATTATTGCCTGAATCAAGAAGTTCCTCTTCCAAGGCACCATCTTATTAATTAAAATCATTCTTAGAGAAGAGTTACTCGCCAAATCAAAACTGGGATGGTTGTGACCCTCGCTGGCAATGGTACCTCCTATGAGTAGCAGACGGGCTAGGGCTGGATGAGAGATGTGGTGAGATGCTCTCGTGCTCTTTGTCAATTAATTTGATCTATTCTTCGCTCTTTGGAGTGTTAGGAAACATCTTTTATCCTCTTTGGAATTACCCAGACATAGCTGGGCATCGGGGTCCAGAGACCACAAACAGAGAAGCAGGTACCCTCCACAGATGAAGGCAGCTATGGGGGGTGCCGCCAGGCCAGATGCTGCTGCTTTCAGTGAATCCAGTGAAAGGTGGCAGCCACACCCATCACACATCATCCAAACCCCAGTGGGCATCTTTGAAAGGCATCTTGAGCTTGTGGCACATGGGTGACACCTAGAAACCTCGCACACCTCTCAAAGGATACTTGGGGCCTGATGCAGGGCTTTTAGGCTCTGGCACTCTCTGTAATCACAAATGTCACTCCTCAGCAGAGATATCAAATCCCTGGCAGGAGGCCAGGAGCTGTCACCAATAAGAGGTGGGTTTCACCAGCCTCTCAGCCAGAGAATTGAGAAGCAGCAGCTCCAAAATAGAGTTCAGCCCCCATTTCCCAATTTCAGAGAAGCAGGGGAGCCCCACGCGCCATCCCCACCCCCCTGCTCCCCTCATCACCCCAAATACACACACAGAGAAATGCACCATCAGCCAGGAAGGACCAGCCCTGCTCTGGTGCCAGCTTCACCTGAACCCTTCTGTGAACTCACTTCTCATTAAAGCCACAGAAAATTCAAGGGGACAGAGGTAAGTCCGATCAACAGGAAGAAGGAACGAGGAAGGCAAAAGAAGAGCAAAAACCTTGCTGGGATCATTGCTCACAGGGCCCCAAACTTACTGGTTCCTGGAAGTAGAGCTGGTAATCAAAGGCAGGATTGGCTTTGATTCTCTCCATTGGGGACACTTTGGGATTTGCTGGTATGAAGGGAGTATTCAAGCTGGCCACTGCCCTGTGGATAGAAGAGGTGTCAAGACACAAACCCCATAAGAAGACAGTCTGTAAGGACCAGAAAGGACCTCATTTGTCAAAACCCAAGCTCAGAGTGGGAGAGGGCTACACACAAGATCTCACACCAGCAGTGCAGGGAGAACGGGACCTGAAACCATATACTTCTTGACTCTCCAGCCCAGTGTGTGTGTTTTGTTTTGTTTTTTTTTGCCACTAAACTGCAGTATTTCTCACCTACTTGCCTTCGACAAAGATACACGCATGTTACATGCAGTATATCCACCTTGATTACGATACATGAACAGTACAATCTTTCTCTAGTTTGTAAAAACACAGTCATTTCTTCCTTACTTCACTCACTGTTTCCTCTGTGTTGAGTGTAATTCCACGCCACATACTAGGGGAGAGAAAATATAAAACCAATACTCTGCAAGCTTATTATAGTCTAATAAGGAAGGCTAGTCAAATACACCCATGACTATATTATGAGATAGACTGCAAAATGAGGCATAGGAATTCCTACAAAATACCACAGGAATTCAAGGAGATAAAGGATTTCTAGGTTTGGGCATCATGGAAGACATGGAAGAGATAGCATTTGAACTTGACTTTTACAGGTGGGGGAGAGGTGGGGAGGGGAACCAATACCTGCAAGGGAAACATCATGAGGTCGCCCGAGCCAGTTCTAGAATGAGGCAAAGCTTGGGGTTGAGTTTGATGGAGCAAGGAGTCTACAGGGCCACAGGCCAAGTTAATGGGCATCTTGGGAAATGAAGCCAGAAAGGCTCATGGGACCCGGAACATGAAGGGCCCTGAGTCTGGACTTGAAGCTGCAGAAAACCAAGAAAGCCATGAGGGCTTCTGGGAAGAGGTGAGAGTGGATGGAAGCTGCAGTCAGGAAGTGATGTATCAAGCAGCAATCCATCACATGGATACAGAGAAGGGGAGAAGCCAGCAGACTACTGCATTAGTCAGCCTGAGGGGAAGAGGATGGCAGCAAAAGGAATAAAAGAGAGGGTGAATTTGAGAGACCACACAAAGGCAGAATTGATAGAAGTTAGCCAGGACTACATTTAGCCTGGCAAAGAATTCCGTATCCCATGCTTACCCTGTGGAAACTTGTTCCCAGAAAAGAAACAGATATATAAAATAGGAGCAATGGGATAATTAGGGCAAATAAAACAATCAAGGGAAGGACTGGTGAGGCTTACCCAGCACCGACCAATAGAAATATAATGCAAAAAATATATATATATATATATGTATATATATATATAATGCAAGCCATATATATAATTAAAATTTTTCCAGTAGCCAAATTAAAACCAGTAAAAAGGAACACGTGAGATTAATTTTAAATATTATTTAATATTAAATTTAATTTAATTTTAAATATTATTTAATTTTAAATTTAATGTTAAATGTTAATTTAATATTTAATCCAATATATCTAAAGTATTAATAATTTCAACATGTAATCAATATTAAGAATTATTAATAAGATATTTTACATTCTTTTTTTCATACTAAGTCTTTGGAACCTGGAAGGTATTTTCTACTTACAGCAATCTCAATTCAAACTGGCCACATTTCAAAAGTTCAATAGCCACGATTAGACAGTGCAGGTTAGGGTATAAAATAAGTTATACTGATGCCTATAAGTTCCTAATGCTACCACAGTGAACCTATTTTAAGCATTACTTAAATCACAAGTCAAGAAATTCTAGCTTTTACTAAATATTCTGAACAGAATGGGGTTTTCTTTTTAATCGCTTTGACATATCATTTATTCCATATATAAAAAAATCATCACTAAACGAGATGATAATATATAAATGCGGCTGCCAGCTGCATTAAGATGAAGAAAAAGCTGAACCACAGCCTCCTTCTGGCAGCAGCGTCTCCAGGTGATTGTTAAAGAAAGGATATAAAACAAACAAGTGAATAGACCCTGATTTTAAATAGGTTCCCAAAGCTTATTTCAGTAGAAAGGTGAAACCAAGGATTCAAAGAAATAGTCCACATTAAATGTGGGCTTTTTTTTTTTCTTTCATTCATTGTCTGGCTAGAAAGGCAGAGATTTGTGCTGTTAGCAATATCCTTAAATAAAACATGCTCCGAGACCCAGAGATGCGGGGTCCCATCCTGGACAGCCCTGCGAGAGGGTCTCAGCTCCCTCCCGCCCTCCCAGGAAGGAGGGAACAGGGCTGCTTTGATGAGAGCAGACGTAGAATGAGCAACTACTCCAGAATCAACAGCAGGTACGGTGGAAACAGCACAGAAGAAGAGGAACGGGAAACCAGAGCGCGCCCGCATCTCGGATCTGATGTTACTCTGCACAAAACCTCACTTGGCTCACGTTAAATCTTTTAAAATTCTCACAGGAGAACTAGATTAAGTTTAATAAAACAACAACAAGGTGGAGACCATATGTTGTTGCTCTATTTCTTTTTGTTCCCTTCCAGGGGCATCTAACACAGCCTGCAGGGTAACTTTTTGGTGAACTTGATTCTTAAGAGCTTTCTTATCTCACTTTTGAATGACAGAGAGGACAGAGAGAGAAGCTAAAGAGATCAAAACAGCGTGCAAAAACTTTAAAAATACTTTAGGAAATGTGTGATTCTTTCTGGTCTTTGAGATCATCCAGCCATTTGAGCTGGGGTTGAGCTGAACAAAGTTTCTCCAGTGTTTCCATTCCTATAAACTCAGCCAAATAAAAAGTAACTGGATTAGTTAGGGAAACACAGATGGCTGCTAAGGATGTTGTTTTAATTAATTTGCTAAGATCCGAGGCTGAAATGGGAGGTCAGACAGGCTTTAACGGCAGTTACCAGGTCAAATGGGGTGTGGCCACAAAGACCACCTGACTCTCCAGGTTCAAAACCCACCATCTGAAAGCTCCCACTTGTGCCCTGAAATGTCATTCTGAGAATGATTATGAGTGATGTGATGGTGATCATGACCTATCATTCCAACCTGACATCTGTTTTACTGTATTTTGCAGGTTGAAGAGTCGGGTAGGAGTGACCATTACCACTTTGTGGTTGACGATACCAGGGCCTAACAGGTGAAGTGATTTGTCACGTAGCCAGTTCAGGGTAAAAGTGAAAGCCACATTTTCTGACTCTGACCAGGGCTAAAGTGTCTCCTGGCACTCAGTTCTATGAATCTGACATCCCCTGCTGCCTCATTTCCTCCCCTCAAAGTCCACCCTCATTCTCCTGCATTCCCACTGGCTACTCAGGCCCTGAATTATTCGTTGCATTACTGGTGATTGGGACAGGCCTTGTGCCCAAGACGTTAGCTCATTAAACCCTCCCTACTTATACACCAATGAGCTAAGGAGCTATGGTGTCACCTTCCCAGATAATAACCTATTGTTTTCAAGAAGTTTTCTGGAATTCAAGACCTGAGGAAGGAGTCTAGGGAATTCAAGTCCAGTCTGACCCAAATTCTTGATGCCCGAGGCCTAATTACCTCACTCTCTTGGGGTAGAAGAGAGCCATATTCCACACCAGCATGCCACCCCAGTCGTGACCAATGAACACAGCTTGAGCGATGCCCTAGGAGGACAAAGAAGGGGGCTGAGTGTGAGTAGCTTTCCGGCACAGGAGATGGATGCTGAGAGCCGGAGGCCTGGGGCTCCCCTTAGGCCTAACCTCAGCAGCTACGCCCAACAGCCGCCCTCCTGAAGCCTCTGGCCCCATGTACAGGCCCCGCCGACCCTGCACACAAATGGCTGGCCTCTTAAATCTTCTCAGAAGACTGAGGCCATTGGCCATGAATTCCCTCTCTACTTTCCCACAAATCAAACTTTGCTTCACCTCCTTTCCTCCCTTTTGTCTTCACGTTAGAATGACACCGCCCCTCCCCTCCGTGCTCATCTTTCACTGAGTGGTTATTACTCTGTTCCCCATTCTTTCGGATCTTTTCTACAAGCCTCAAAGGCATCCTTTACCTCCCAATTTCTCCCTGCACCTTGCTCTTCTCTGCTGCTGTAACCACGAAGGACCACGGCTCCCTTCATGCAGGATCTTCTGTGTCACAGGCCCTTTATCTGGAATCCTCCCAGTAACCTTCGAACTCACATTTTACAAATGAAAAGATGGCTCACAGGGGTCGGGTGACTTGTCCAGGCTGCACGGATGGTAAATGGTGGAACCGCCATTCAGACCCAGGTCTCCTAACCTAAAATCGGGCTCCCTCCTCTAAGCCACCCGCTGAGCGCTTTAGGGCCTCCGATCTGCCCCAGCCCCACCACCAGCTGGAAAGGTGGTTCCTTGCCTCAGCTCTCTGCCACACTGCGTCTCCTGTGTTCTCTTTTCACAGTGGTTTATATCAGGTGCCTCCCTAACGGCCTTCCTAAGTCCCTCCAGTGGCTTCTTCCCCGCTACGCCCAAGTCCACTGAAACTTCTCTCTTTAAGGCTACTAATCACTAATAATTTTGTTCCCCTCTTGGTTCTCATTCCTCTGACTGTTCTGCAGTGTGAGTGAAAAAAATGCTGCCTGGCATATCAGTAAACAAAGGATGTTGCAGCCACCAAGTCACTGCAGTCACCCCGATGGTGAACCCTGAGGGAACTCAGGATGGAGACAAACAGGCTGCCCACTGCCAAGCCCTCAGTCACTGTAGCCACCCTCAGTGGGGCACCCGGAGGGGATTCCGGATGGAGAAAAGCAGGATACCGGCCCCAGCTAGCAGAGGTGCATGTCGAAGGAATGATCTCTATGAGCCTAGCAGAGGTGCGTGTTGAAGGAATGATTTCTATGAGCCCAGACTCTTGCACCTTTCAATACAGAAAAAAATGCTAAATTCCTTAACTTGAGATACGTGGTTTTCTTTAATTAAGAGTAATCTTTTGATGTTCCGACTACCTAGTCTTTGTTGCAGAAACTACTATATATCGTGCCTCCTCTCTTACCTCTCTGGAAGCGGTCTCAGAGCTATCTGAGATGCTGTATCGGGCTTACGTCCTCAGTTTGTCCACCAAATAAAACACAATTCTCAACCTTTAGGTTGTGCTTTTTTTTAAGTCAACAGCAGCATGAGGCATTTCCTTTGAAACATTCTTCCCTGGGCTTCTGTGAAACTCTGCTTTCCAGACTCTTCTTACTTCCCTGAGTCTACTACTCCCTCTCTACCTCTCACTTGGGACTATTCCATGGCTCAGCCTTCAGGCCTGTCGTTGGGGAGCTCATCTCCTCCAAAGGCTTCAGGCACCACCTCCAGGTGGCAAATGACCACCTCATCTGGTCACCCAGGTCATCCAGGTTGGCCCAGTCTCCTTCCCACATATCCTAGTCATGACTGGGCCGGGGACGGACACCTGACCCAGCTGGCCAGCAACCACAGAGACTCCCTCTCAACCATCAGAATAAGAGACGTTCCCAGCCAGTTGGAAATCTTCTAGAAAAAGTCAGGAGTGGGGCGGCCACACTGGGCCTTAGCTATCCCCATCACACTCAAAAGTTGCAAAGCCAGTTCCGCAGGACTGGGAATCTGCAGAGGGTGGGACATGACATTGTTACCGCACGTCCTACACCAGGCCCTGCTGTAGATCTGGAACTCCTTGGTCATCTCAGTTGCACCTTTCAACGCACACCCAGTGAACAAGAGAAAGATCCCACCGCTTTGAGGTTCTCTCTTAGCCCCCCTGTACTGTCACTGTCCTGGCTGGGCCCTCTGCCCCTTCAGCCATGCTGTGGTGTCTCCCTTCTGCCACGTGACCTGACTGAAGACGGCAGAGGATGTACCTGAGTCTCAGAAGAGTGTGTGTGCCCTGCAGCAGCGTATTCTCAGATGACCACTGTTGATCGTTTTCATTGAGTTTGACATTCCAAACCATGTTAAACGAAGACATTCGATTTTAAATATTTCAAAAGGGATGGAAGTTTTAAGAAGCTGGGGAGTATTAGCCTATCGGGTGTTTCCCAAACTTCTCTTCATCTGGCTTAAAGCCAACAGAGACACTCCATCCCCTGGAAGATGCTTTTCATGAAACAAGAGCCAAACCAATCTCACCTCTATATTCTCCAAACCTGTCTTTATAATCCCTTCCGACCCACCACCCCACCTTCCCCCTCCCATACCGCTCCCTTCAGGGCTCTAACAGCTGACACCTTCAAAGGTTACAGCTTTTCTTTAATTGCCCAGTTCCAAACAGAATTCTCCAGAGATCAGTTCAAAATAATTACTTACCAACTTATCCAGGAAGGTGACCATGTCCTAAGAAAGAAAACACACACACAAAATCAGAACTGAATCCATCACCTCAGCGGCTTCGAGGTTAGAATTACTGTGTTTGCCTTGGTTACGGTCTGAATTGTGTCTCCCACCTTCCCCCCTGCGAAATTCATATGCTGAACCCCTGGTACTTCAGAATGTGACTCTATTTGGAGACAGGCTCTTAAGTAAAGATGTGATTAAGTTAAATGGGGTCATTAGGGCGGGTCCTGATCCAATATAAGGCAGAAGATTGGGACACAGACACATACAGAGGAAAGACAAGAACAACAAGAGAAGCCACAACAAGAGAAGCCACCACAATGAGAAGCCTGTGCACCACAAGCAAGAGTAGCCCCTGCTCGCCTACAACTAGAGGAAACCGGCACACAGCAACAAAGACCCAACTCAGCCAAAAATAAATAAATAAATAAGTTAATTAATTTAAAAAAAAAAAAAAGCAACAACAGATATGTCCAGAGGGCCAGACTGCACGCCCCTCCTGGCAGCAGTGGCATGAGAGCAGAGTACGAACTGCAGTGGCTGGAGTCATGGCAGGACAGGCATTTAGAAAGTTTCTTCCCCTCTTTGGCCAAGTATCAGTTGAAAGAAGTGCAGCCAAACCTGTATCCAAAGGAGGCATTATGCTTCCAGAAAAAACTCAAGGAAAAGTATTGCAAGCAACAGTAGTTGCTGTTGGATCAGGCTCTAAAGGAAAGGTTGGAGAGATTCAACTAGTGAGCATGGAAGTTGGAGACGAAGTTCTTTTCCCAGAATATGGATGCACCAAAGTAGTTCTAGATGACAAGGATTACTTCTTATTTAGAGATGGTGACATTCTTGGAAAATACGTAGACTGAAATAAGTCACTATTGAAATGGCATCACTGAGGCTGCCCATTCCACTGAAGTTCTGAAATCTTTTCATCATGTAAATAATTTCCATGTTTCTCTTTTATAATAAACTAAGGAGAAAAAAAAAAAGCAAGCACAGATGACAGGTTCCATTGGTGAAATTACACACATATTTTTTTAGAAGGAGGCTCACAGTATTGGTGTAATTCACTTCAATCATTTATTTTCATCTTCCCCCCACCAAAGAGAGGGGAACAATTATTGAATGTTGTCAGGAGGTCTTTTGAACCCTCTGTTATATGGACTGAATGTCTGTGTCCCCTCAAAATTCCTATGTTGAAGCCCTAATCCCCAGTGTGACTGTATTTGAAGACAGGGTCTTTACAGAAGTAATTACAGTTAAATGAGGTCATGAGGGTGCGGCCCTGACCCGATAAGAAGAGTCCCAGAGAGCCAGCTCTCTCTCTCTGCCATGTGAATGCAGTGAGAAGGTGGTCACCCGCAGGCCAGGAGAGGGTGCTCACCAGAACCTGACCATGCTAGCACCCAGATCTCGGAACTGTGAGAAATACATTTCGGTTGTTTAAACCACCTGGTCTGTGGTGTCTTGTTATGTCAGCTTGTTATGTGTACGTTAGTCGGCTTGTTATAACGTCAGCCCAAGCCGACTAATGTACACACTAATGGGGAATTTAGCTGAGGGTTTCCCAGAAATCCTATAACATGCAAAGAGGCAGCACCCATGAGGTTCCCGATGAGGAACCAACAGACTGTCTGATGTAAGAGGGTCTCTAAGGGATGAAGGGTGCAGAATTGTGGTCCAGCTACAGTGGTTGAGGTGAGCTGGGACCCCCATCAGTGAGAGAAGCGATTAAGGAGGAATGGGGGAAATTAAATAGGTGCAGGGATACCTTTACCTTCTCCTTCTAGGACCCCCAGCTGATGTTGTCCGAACCACTCCCTCAGCACTACAGTTTTATTCCTAGCATCTCTCTGCTTTCTTCTTTCTTTATTATTCCTTTAACTTTGGGGTTCTCAGACTGGCTCCTCAGACTTGTCCGAGCACGGACAAGTCCCATGCTCCCCTTATGAGACATCAGGCCTGCATGTGGGGCCTGACGGGGTGCTCCAGGCAGAGATGTGACCCTCCTAGATGAAGGCTTTCTGTAATTTTAGCATAATCACTGGCATAGCCAGTTTTCTGGCCAAGCAGGAGGCTGTTTCTTCCTCTCGGTCCCTCCAGCCTTTGCTTTTGCTCCAGGGCTGATGGAGGTTTGGGTGACAGTCTCTCCTCACCTTAGCCTTGGCCTTCCCCTGCAAGCTCTAAGATGAGGGCCCCTCTCCCCGATGGTGTGTATGCCTGTCTTAGAACAGGAACGCCTCTGCAGTCCCCAGTCCACACACTAACTCCCTAGGTCTGGCCAACAATGTGTTTACCACAATGAAGTGATTTTTTAAAATTCTCAGAAGGGAAAGGTGATATGGTGGGGTAGCTAAGAGCAGGAGCATGGGAGCTACTACAGGGTTTAAACCTGGCTCTACAGGCTGTTGACCTCAGGCAATTACTTAACCTCCCCATGACTCAGTTTCCTCTTCCATCAAATACTTAGAAAAGTACTTGATATACAGTCAACGTTGGCTATTATTTCAAAATACTTCGACTTTCAGAAAGAATTTGTACCCAAATGTTGTGAAATGCTGCTTTCCTAGGTTTTAAATGAACACCCACACTTGTCTTATATCAGTGAAAACACAAGGATGGAGAAGTTACAGATGTTACCCAAAGATCCTTCTTACGTTGCATAACACTTCCATGGAATATTCTTCTATTTCTGCAATTAAAAATAAAAGAAATACACTTAATTTGCCTGTTTAAAATTACCAGCAAACTAAAAGAGCCCCTTTGGCAAAAAAAAAAAAATCTTATTAAATTCTTAGGTTGATATAGTCTGCTTGTTTATTTTTGTTGTTGTTGCCTGTGCTTTTGGTGTCATATCCATGAAACCATTGCTAATACCAACATCATGAAGCTTTTCCACTATGTTTTCATTTAGGAATTTTAGTGTCAGGTCTTCAGTTTAAGCCTTTAATCCACTTTGAGTTGTTTTTTGTGGACGGTGTAAGATAAGGGTACAATTTCATTATCTTGCATATGGATATTCAGTTTTTATGACACTATTTGTTGAACAGACTGTCCTTTCCCCATTGAGTGGCCTTGGCACCCCTGTTGAAGGTTATCTGACCAGATACACAAGGGTTCATTTCTCGACTCTCTATTCCATTGGTGTATATGTCTGTCTTTATACCAATACCATACTGTGTTGATTACTGTAGCCTTGTAGTATATTTTGAAATCAAGAAGTATGAGTCCTCCAGCTTTGTTCTTTCTTAAGATTGATTTGACTATTTGTAGTCTTTTGTGGATCCATATGAATTGTAGAATTGTTTTTTCTATTTTTGTAAAACATGTCATTGGGATTTTGATAGGGATTTCATTGACTCTGTAGATTGCTTTGGGCAGTATGGACATTTTACCAATAATAGCAATTCCAGAAAAGAAAAAGAAAGAAAAACAGAGAAAACAGAAGAAAAAAATTTTCAAAGAAATAATTCAAGAAAATTTCCAAGAACTGAAAGTTAAATGTACCCAGAAAAGTAGATGAAAAAAGACCCATATCATAGCACAATATCATAACAGTTTAGAACACAACAGATAAAGATCCTAAAAGTCTCAAGGGTAAGGCAAAAAGGTAACATGGCACTGCAATGCTGTATAGCAACAAGGGAAGCTAGAAAATACTAGGACAAAGGCTTCATAATTTTAAGGGAAAATAATTTGTTACTTAAAAATCTACTGCCAAATGATCTGAAATTTATACACAAATGATCTGAAATGTACATATATGCATTCCAAATCATCGCACTTGGCTTTAGAATTAATGTTATGTATAATCTTTGACAACAGTTAACATGTAAATTATGTTTTTGTTTAAAAAAAAGAGTCATAATTAGGGTATGACCATAAGTCCCAGTTTGTCCAGGACAGTTTTAGTTTATGTGTTATTATTAATAGTTTCTCTTTTAATAGTGTTGTAGTTTGAATGATAAATTATATTACTAACTAATGCCCAGGGGATTCAGGGAAGATTGCAGTATAGATAAATAAAAATAAACATTTAAATAATGAAAATTTTTAAAAAACCTTAGATGTCTTTCCTGCATATTTGGACTGAAGTCCTTCCTTTTGTCTAAAATGCTTCTGCATTGTTCAAGAGGCAGTAAGCAGCAGCTGAGTAGACACCATGACATTTAGGGAACCACCATGGAAGCACATCTCTGTCATGACAGGCTGAGTGGCCTGGTGGTGGCCTCCTGAGTGACTGAGAGCCCCAGCCCATGTCAGCAGGCTTCAAACTCAACACAACAGGACTGACGTGCATGCAGCCAAAGCAGCTCAGAAAAGGGGTGGTGAGCTGCTGCTTGGCTTGCTAAGCTGCTAAGAGCATCACTGACCATGGAAGGACCAGCGACTCTGCTGCACACCTGGCTGCTTCCCATTCCTGCCTCCACCCAGGGTTCTTAAAGGTTTGGGGCTGAGGATCCCTCTGAAACTGATAAAAACAATGGACTCTCCCCTCCCCAAGGAAAATGCTCATAGACCCACACATGTTCTCAAGGGTTCACAGGTCCCTGACACCCATCCTTGGATAGACTCCCACTGGGATCCATAGACACTGGGTTAAGAATCTGGCCTATGAATTACCATATGATCTAGCGGTTCCACTTCTGAGTATATACCCCAAAGAACTGACAGGAGGGACTCAAAGAGATATTTGTACACCCATGTTCATAGCAGCAGTATTCACAGTAGCAACCCAAGTGTCCATCTATGGATGAATGGATAAACAAACCGCGGTCTATACATACAACGGAATATTATTCATCCTTAAAAAGGAAGGAAATTGTGACATATGCTATAACATGGATGAAGCTTGAAGACATTTTGCTAAGTGAAGTCAGTCAGTCACAAAAGGATAAATACTGTATGATCCACTTAGATGAGGTACCTAGACTAGTCAAATTTATAGAGTGAGAGAGCAGAAGGGCGCTTGCTGGGGGCTGAGGGGAGGGAGAATGGGGAGTTACTGCTTAATGGGTACAGAGTTTCAGTTCTCCAAGATGAAAATAGTTCTGGAGCTGGATGGTACCTCCTACATCCTATATCCTCAATGACTAGCAGGAGACCCCCTTGGGGCACAGGCCATTGGGTTTCTTGAATTCATTCAGAGTATGAGGAGAAGAGACCTCTGGGGCCCAAAGTGCACAGACACGGACACTGCAGGAGCTGGGAAGGGAGGGGGAAGTCAGACCCCCTTGAAGGGCTGCCTGCTCTGACCTGGGACCAGGGAAAGACAGTGCAGTTGGAGAGCTCAGACAGTCAGAAGGCATGACCAACACCGAAAGCTGTAAAACAGCTAACCCACCAGAAGGAGCAGATGACTCTCCATAGCCTTTCATGTCCACCGCTAGTACCCGGAAGCCCGCCTGGGCCAGAGCAGGGATCTAGAAAAGAAACAATTCAGACCCTCTCCAGTGTGGGCTCATCAGTGTTTTGCTGACGCCACCTCTTTGCTTCCTTCTATCTCCCTGTTATTGTAAATGGTTCAATTCAAAGTGCCACATGGCACTACCTGGTGTCCTCACCATGGGGCTGGAATGAGCCCACCCAGCTGCCATGGATGGTTGTAGGGTTTGTGCCCTGCACCTAATGCCACACCTGACAGAGCACCTTTCCTAGCAAAGACCTTGCCGATTTCTATATTCATTACAGAGATTTCCCAGCAGGTGGCATAAAGCATCTTGAGGAAGTATGCTTTTTTTTCATCTGCAAAGGTGGCATATAGGCTAGCACAGATCTGAGCTCTGGAGCAATGTCCGGCCCCAACACTTCAGAGATATCGTGGCCATACTTGGGATATGATGCTCCACGGTAAGGTGTCAGCTTCTTAATGATATTCCAGGCTGGCTCACACCATCTAGACTCTTCTCTCCCCTCACCCTGACTGGGGCATACTTCCCCCAGTTTCCCTTACCTGGTACCTCCAAGAGAACCAGCTCTCCGGAAATCCATGGCAGAGGCATACGGCAGGGCCAGAGCCCAGCTCCACAAAATGCAGACACATCCCAGGCTGCAGAAGAGAGAGGTGAGCGGGGAGTGACCTCAGTGCAGGCCGGGGGTAACCAGGCACCTCTTCCGCAGATCGCCCCGGGCCATTTCAATACGTTGCCAGATCGTGCCTGACCCAGCTCTCTCAGCTAAAAACCCACCAATGTTAGAAGAAAATGTCTGAGAAGAGACAAGTGATCAAACTGCAATAAAAGCAGGCAGTTTCACTGGAACAAGAAGAGCCTGAAAAGAAGATCATAACGTTGGAAAACAAAACAACTTGGCCTTCCTCCCTAAAAGGCCCTCATCCTGTCAGAGTTTCTGCTGTCATTTGACATGTTTTCCATACTTTAAACTGAGGGCTGATTTTGTACAGGGCATGGTATTCACATGAAGGTGCAGAATACCATGATTATTTCATTAAAAGCTCTTTATCTCTTGAACGTGAACATTTTTCCCAGCTTTGCTATACTTCCGGTCCTTTGTGGGCTGCATGGGTATGGCCGAGACTGCCAGGGCCCAATATCCACCTTCTTCTCTTCTCCTTGGCTCCTGCTGGTATTTTCCAGGCCTCCCCCAACCTTCCTGCAGTGGGTGTGGCTGTGTGACTGGCCAGTGGCATATGAGCAGAAGAAATGTGTGCTCCATCTGGGCTGTAAACCTCCCGCGCACCTGGTCCTCCCTCTCTTTTTCTATCTGCACCTGAATGGACTGGGCCTTGAGGAAGGAAGAACCTGCAGAAAGAAGGAGGCTGGGTGCTTGAATGACTGCGAGGAGAGAGCCTACTCCCAACCCACATGGGATTGTGCTGCAAGCCAGAAACAAACTTGTAGTCAAGCCACTGAAAGTGTGGGGCTGTTTGTTACAGCACTGAGCCTACTCTGACTATTACAGGGGGGGTCTAAGCAAAAGAACTAAAGCAATATATAGTCAAAGTACCCTATTTTTCCCCCAAAGTACTTTATCTCTAACTTTCTAGTGGAAACAAATGAGAAAAATAAGCTTCACTTTATAGAAATCCACTTGGAACAACTCTATTTTGCTGCATCTCACACTACTCCAAGCTGGCGTTCCAAACCGGAAGTTTCATTCACAATTCCCAACAAGCTATTTTGCTCAAGAAAACGTCAGGCTGACATTTCACAAACCCTTTCTTGGACTACAGTCTTTTTTTTTCATCAGAATATGTTCTCTAGTCTTCCCTTTAGTACCTGGCAAAAGGAGGGACTTGCTCCTTCTATGCTCCTTTAAACTGAAAAATGTTATAGTTCTGATGTCCAATCAAATGATCCTAATCCGCCTCTGTCCTCAGTGGATCTTAACTAGAAGGCTCGCTCTTGCTGCTACATATTTGATTCAGCTGAGTAGCTCAGCAAATGCATGCACTTTCCCATCCTTTGAACAGTGTGCTCTAAAATTGCCGTTAAGCCAGAAAACGGAAAAGATCTATTATCAACGCACTTTGAGTTGCATTAGCATCAAGGCAATAGCACTCCCAGAGCCTGGGCTCCCCAGAGTCCACTGCCCCAGCCCTTTAGTTTTGGGGTGAGGGCAGAGGAAGTGGTTAGGCAGCTCTGATCACACTCCTTCAAGGTCAAATGGGGAATCTACTGAAACTGGCTGGATACGCAAGCATCAGGAGGATTATGAGAGTAACCCTGTCTGTAGGATTGGAGATGCAGGGTCACAGCCCAGACCGACCCCAGCCCCAGGCAAAGAGCCCCTTACTCGGCATCAATATTAGAGACGAGGTCTGAAGGGAGCTTATGAAACCTTATGAAACTGGTCCAGGAGCACCCAGGGTTCTAAGAGCAGCCACATTGACCAGAAAAGCCCTTTCTCGCTATCCAAATCCCACTCATCCTCTGATGTTCACTTCACCACTGAATCTCATCCCCCGCAACTACAGTCACTTTCTCCAACCCCTACAGAGCCCATTCTGAGTGCCTGAGCCACTGCCGTTAGGGCTGCATCCTGTGATGTAACTGCAGGGAATGTCACCTTGGCAGAATGCAGACCATACAATCCTTGAGGTCACAGAAGACCTCCATTCATCTAGGTATTTCCCTCTGTGCCTAGCAAACAGCAAATGCTCACTGAACATCCATGGGGCTCTCCTCCAGGGCAGCAGGTCCTCCCCAGGTCCCAGACCTGCATAGCTCAGGACACCAGCTCTCTTCTTTATGAAGCACGAGGTACTACCCACCGTGATCAACATGGGGTATTTTAATTAATCCTCACAAGAACATTGAGGGGAGGTATTATCGCCATCTCATTATAAAGCTGTGTACACTGGGGTCCAGAATGATAAGAAATGTGCCCACATTTGCCAGCTTAGTAAGTGCCAGGATTCAAACTGGTTCCGTCCGGCTCCAAAGCAACTGCTGAGTTTTGTTTTGCTTGTGAGCTAACCCATAGCTTTAGGTCCTGTCTTAGTTAAATGGCCACAGTGACAAATGAACAAAGATCCCAAAGTGAACCTGAGAAGATGTTTTAAAGCCTGGCTCCGAATCCCGGCTGGGTCAGGAGTCAGGGCCCCTCTGCACGTGGCCTTGGTCTTGCTGCAGCCCTGACCCCTGGGCTAACGACTGGCCGTTTCCCTCTCTGTATCTGGTGCCTCCCTGCGTCCCTCCTATCTGGCTGGTGCCTGACACAAAGGAAGGGCCGATAACACCCGCTGGATGAAATAATGAAATAAAGTGCCAGACACGCAGGCTGTGGGGACAGAGCAAGGCCCCACATGGCCTGTTGTTCCGTGGGAGTCTGATGACATTGGTCCACATCTGCTATTGATTTTTTTTTTTTTTAGCTTTTTAAATTTTTATTTATTTATTTTATTTTTGGCTGTGTTGGGTCTTCGTTTCTGTGCGAGGGCTTTCTCTAGCTGTGGCAAGCGGGGGCCACTCTTCATCACGGTGCGCGGGCCTCTCACTGTCGCGGCCTCTCTTGTTGCGGAGCACAAGCTCCAGACGCGCAGGCTCAGTAGTTGTGGCTCACGGGCTTAGTTGCTCCGCAGCATGTGGGATCTTCCCAGACCAGGGCCCGAACCTGTGTCCCTGCATTGGCAGGCGGACTCTCAACCACTGCGCCACCAGGGAAGCCCTGCTATTGATTTTTGAGGAATCATACTTGTGGGAAATACCATTTCCATATACATGATGGATGTGTAGCTACCCTTGAGATTTCACAAACGTCTCACAAGTCGTTTTAGTGGAGCTGGTTAGAGAGACTCAGCTGCTGGTGAGAGAGCACTGACTCACCTTTATGGGCACGTACCCATGGCTCACGGTGCTTGGATCGCAGGGGATTGGTCGGGAGGCTGCAGTTTGGAGAAGCTGAAAGTAAGAGAGACACAGTGAGGGAGATGGCTCTGCCTCCTTCCACGAGAAGGCCTCAGAGTGAGTTCACAAAACTCCATAAGACAGCCCCTGGGTCACCTTTGCCATGGCTTCCTGAGTCCTATGGGTGACTGACCAACCCAGCCCCCTCTCCTCTAGGGTCAGTGGAGTCCGGTGACTGAGTTCTGGCCAACAGGATGCAGACAAAGAGCATGGCCTATGCAATTAGAGATGATCATACTAAGTGAAGTTAAGTCAGAAAGAGAAAGACAAATACCATATGTATGATATCACTTATATGTGGAATCTAAAATATGGCACAAATGAACCTACCTACAAAACAGAAACAGACTCACAGACATAGAGAACCACCTTGTGGCTGCCAAGGGGGAGGTGGGGAAGGAAATGAATGGATTGGGAATTTGGGGTTAGTGGATGCAAACTATTACATTTAGAATGGATAAACAAAAAGCTCCTATTGTATGGCACAGGGAATGATACTCAATATCCTGTGATAAACCATAATGGAAAAGAATATAAAAAATGCATTAAAATAAAATAAAAAAAAGAAGAGCATGGCCTGACCGCCAGGGCTGTGAAAATCCCTACGTGATTCTCTGTATTCTCCGCCCCCTTTGCAGCTGGTGCTCAGCGTGACCTCGGAAAAAACCACCCGTAGAAGACAGGGGTTCTCCATCAACCTGGGTCCTAGAATGGCTGTGAGGCAAGCCCCTGGCCACCACCCACTGAATTTCACATCTGCGAGGAATAAACACCACTTGCTCCCAAACACTGAGATTTTGGACTTTAATGAATGTAATTCTTCTCTAGGGCAGTTCCTCAAGTGGTCACCCAGGCTGATGCTGGACACGGCCAGGAACGCCAAGTTCACAGAGCAGTCATCCCATCATTACATGACTCTGTTGAAGGGTTTCTTCTTCAAGTCGGCCAAAATCGAACTCTCCGGGCCTTGTGTGGGTCAGCTAGGGCGGCCACAACACTGTGCCACAGACTGGGGTGCTTAAACAACAGACATTTATTTTCTCACACTTCTGGAAGCTGGAAGTCCAAGAAGGTGTTGGCAGGGTTGGTTCTTCCTGAGGCCTCTCTCCTTGACTTGTAGACGGCCGCCTTCTCCCTGAATCCTCACATGGCCTTCCCTCTGTGTGTGTCTGTGTCTTAATCTCCTCTTCTTATAAGGACACCAGTCTTAATGGATTAGGGCCCATCCTTATGACCTCATTTTACCTTAAATACCTCTTTAAAGATCCAGTCTCCAAATACAGTCACATTGTGAGGTCCTGGGGGTTAGGGCTTCAGCATATGAATTTGCTGAAGGGGGGGGACGCAATTCAGCTGATGAAAGCCTTCTGCCTGCTGGCCCAGTTCTGTCCTCTGGAGCCCCAGGGGGGTCAGGTTACCCATCTTTGTCCATCTCGGTAAACAGGAAAATTCCTGAGCAAAGGATCCTTAAGAAGCTTCCGTAATGTACTGGTGTCGGTTTCCTTGAGACAGAAATGACAAAGGACAGGAGGCTGAGCACATATAAGTGGGCCTTTTGTGAACAGCATCATGTTGGTGACTCCCACCGCTTGACTTCTCATCTTTAGTCCTAAAGGTGAGACCTAAGGAAGAAGCCGTTCTCTTCTGCTACCCAGTTTTCTGCCCTCTAAAATGGGGAGGAGTAGACTATGGAATTCACCTACGTTGAAACACAGAAGAGTCTGCCTGGGCATCCTCAGAGGTTGAGATAGGTGGGCGCCCACCTCTGTGGCGTCTGGAGAGGACCCAGGGTGTGGCCCGTGGGGATGGGCAGCTGGGTGCCTCTGACGGCAGTGAAGGAGGCCAGACACCCACCAGGGCCAGCGTCCCCTGGGGTCCTTTATCTGCTGTGTCCCCGACTTCCTAGGTCACACACCAGGGGATGTCCCATTGGTTCCAGGGGTGGGGAGGGTGCGGGTTTCCTACTCTAATGATTCTGCCATGTGTTTGTCCAGTTTATAAAGCCCATTCATGACTGATTCCCACAGCCTTCCTGAGAGACAAGAGGCGCTTCTCCTCTGTTTAAAAAGTAATGATTATCATTTTTCCTTATACCTTCCCCATATCCCTGAGGAAAAGATAGGTGGGACAATGGCTCACTTTCCCAATTTTACAGGACAGGTGTCTGTGGCTCAGAGGTAATGAGGGGAGGAAACTGGTAAGTGGAACCGGCAAAAGGATGCTCCGATTCCAAGTTTGGATGCTTTCCTCTCTGCTGCACAAGACCTCCAGGCTTGCAGAAGGACAAATCAAGCTTGGGTGAGATGCTCTAAGGTTGTAGAGTCATTAGATATACGTTTTAATTTATTTGTTAAAGACGAAAAGTCAGCTGTTCCTGTTATGGGGGCAAAACTGTGTGCCCTCCAAATGCATCTGCTGAAGTCCTAACCCCCAGGACCTCAGAATGTGACTAATATTTGGAGATAAGGTCTTTAAAGAGGTGATGAACCTTAAATGAGGCTCCTGTAGTGGACCCACTGGAGACAGAATCTAATCTGACTGGTGTGTTTACAAGAAGAAACACATACAGGGGAAGACCGTGTGAAGACACAGCGAGAAGGCTTCAGAAGAAACCAACCCTTAACAACTTGCTCTTAGAATTCTAGACTCCTAGAGAGATTGCTGTCTCAGCCACCAAGTCTGTGCTACTTTCTGGCAGCCGTAGGAAGCTAATATAGTTCCCTTTGAAAAAACAGTGTGACGCCTTTTACGTCAATCAAGTGTATGGGCTCCCGCACCTCCTTTCCCATCACACTGACGCGAGCAAAGCATGGCCTACAAAAGCCTAGGAAAGTGCCACTCCCAGACTCAGTGGGATCAGTGATCTTAGGTAAACTTACAAGAACAAAAGGTGCCTCAGCTCTGGCAAAGCAGGCTAATCCCATCAGCCCCCAGGGGCATTATTACGGGCATCCCAGCCTCCTCCGGGGCTTGGGACAGGTTAACTTAGGAGCCTTCCCTCTGACTGCCAAGAGGGTGTGACCCAGGTGGAGCTAAACCACTACATCTGAGTGCAAGCAGCATGACCAGGCAGAGCAGAGAAGGACTGGGGTCCCTCTCCACACCCCAGGGGCAAACCCAGCAGCTACATTCTCAGTATTTACTCTGAATGGGTGGCTTTGAAGGCCCCACTCTAGTCTTGGTCCTCTGAGTCTGACCAGTATAGATTCTTGCTCTCAGAGTGTCCTTTCCCTGTTCACTGACTGCAGAGAAGGAAACAGGAAGTTCTTCATGGACATCATGCTGATTGCACTAAGGGTAACAGTCTCCCACAGAGGAGCTCCCTACTGGGAACCACGCCGGGAGCAGCGAACGCCCTCACTTGTTTTGTCGCTTGCGTACCTAAACACAGATGAGCGACAGGAAATCTGATTCAGCGTGGACAGAAAGTTACCTGCACCCTGGTTTCTTTCTCCAGCTCCCTCAGGGCAGTGTCAGTGTCACGGACGAGGATGGTGACCATCCCCAGGTCACGGGCTGGCTTCAGATTAACCTCGAAGTCATCCAAGAAAACCACCTGAATGCAAAGAGCATGGATACTAGCATCACTTCTACCAAAGCAAAACTCATGCACAAGGGCCACCGGCCAGAAACACGGTAAAGTGAGAACAGCGGTTGAGATTAAGAATTAGTCTCACAATAAGATTGATTGATTAGAGATTAAGAATTATTTTTTTCTCTCCATGTAACTCTTTACTCTTAAAATTAAAAACATTTAATTACATAAGCATAAACATAAACACACAGATAGATATACATGTCCCCTGAATTCTGAAACCGTAAAAAAGATTAATAAAGAAGAATATAAACTTATCAGGATGACGTTAAAATTCATCTAGGAAAGTACATGAATAGACCCCCCCAAAAAAATGTCTGGAAAAGAACTATAATAAAGTCAGATAATAAAACTGAGAGTCGAGGAACAGACTCATATACAAATGAAAATTTAGTTTCTAACAAAAGTGTCATGCCCAATTGGTGAGGAGAAAGTTTATTTAATTATTTCAACAGTTTGGGGGAAAAAGTGGGTCCTTCCTTCACTTATTCCCCAAATAAATTCTGAATAGATCAAATATTTAAATGTCAAAAGAAATGATCCTTAAAGAAAAAAGAAAATCCTTAAAGTTGTAGAAGAAAGCATGGGGCAGTTATTTAGAATCTTGGATTAGGGCAGGCCTGGACGTCTAAGCAGCTCATCCAACCTAAAAGCCATCAATGAAAAGACATTTATTTACATGCATACTAAAATTTAGAGTGCTGTTATAATGCTTAATCTGGGGGCTGAGAAGAGCAGAAGCAAAGTTTGAGATGAGAAGGGAAGAGTTCTGGGATTGAACAGGTAAGGATTTCCCTCTGATCAGCTTGTGGGTGAAGCAGGGTTAACAAGAAAGGGTCAGAAATGCCAGAGAAAGGAATTTCATCTTGGTCCAAAGACCTTTTTGGAGACTGGAGTAGGGAAACACAACAAAAACAACATCTTAGACTAGATAATCTAGAGACGGCATGAAGACAGAATTTAGGGGTGCGGGGATACCCTACAAGGAGACTCCTGCAGTATTGGAGCCCATTCCTGCCCAGCCTTTGGTGGGGTGACCCTGACCAGCCTGTGTCTTGGGAAAGTCTCCCAGGGTCTACGTTTCTTTTAGGTAAACTGAGGCAGCTGGCCTGGCAGCTTTTGACAATACCTGTTTTAACCAAGGTCCTGTAAGAGCCACGGAGAGGAGCCAGATGCCCACCTCCGGTAGAACTTTCTAGGTTGAAGGGGTGGGTAAAAGCCCTTCAGAAGTCCTGGCCTGGGAGAAGTGACGCCTGCCGCTGGACGTAGGACCACCCTGCCAGGTCCCAGGTGTCCCCCATCTGTTCACGCCTCCTCAATTTTTCTTGATTGCAATAGCTCTAGAACATTCTTTTCCACTGAAAGGCAGTGTCTAGGTACCTCATTGGGGCTGGCCTTCAAGACGTCCAGCACAAACTTGTAGATCTGAGGGTCAGGCTTGGCCATTCCGATCCTGCATGACTCAATCAGGAAATCAAAGTGCGGCCTGAGCTCACACATCATCTGGGCCAGGCTGCCTCTCTGGGTGCTGTCATCCAGCCAGATGTTGGTGAGGATGCAGGTTGTAAATCCTGAATGAGAAGGTACCAGTGAATAGACCAGCTATAGAACTTTGCTGTGAGAAGCTCCAGGTATCCCACAGGGGGCCCCAAGACGGGGCCAGGCGGGGTTCTGCTCACTTACATCAATCTCCTGATGTCTGGCTTCTAAACTGACAAGTTAGAAAAGCACCATCGTTACCCATAAGCCCCTCCCAGGGCAGATGCCAGAGCCCCTAACGGTGTGCACCAAGGGCTTTCAGATGGAAACACTACATCCCTTCATTTCTTGCAATCGTAGAGCAAGGAGTTGTGATATTCATCAGCTCATTTGATCAGAGTTTTGACATTCATCAGCCCGTTCGATCCTCACACCTTTGGGGCAGGCAGGGCAGATCTTACCACCCCACTTTTACCAACGGGAAAATGGAAGCTCAGACAAATTATAAGCTGCCCAGAGCCGCAGAGTGCAGGCAGAGCTGAGGCTGGCCCAGAATCCCACCTTTGGACTGCCACTCCAACCCTCCTCTCAGTCTACATTACTGCAAACTCTGCTGGACCACACTTCAAAACACCTGCCTTGGCAGAGATGGTGCTCCCATTTCAAAACTAGAGAAATGTAAACAGAGACAGCATTATCCCCTGCCTAACCAGACAGGACAAGAACCAGGAGATGCTGGAAACAAGACAAGGATAAGTCAATGGACAGACCCTTTCCATGTAATATGAGTGGGAAATATGGACCAGGGATGTCTCAGACACAACCAGGTAAGGCTACTGATAAGTGGGTAGGATGACCTCAAACATGCCTGTGACGAAGAGCTGGGCTCTGTCACTAAATAAATGCCTAATCAAGGAAAATCAACTGAAGGAATTACTAATACATATGAGTATAAATGTGCCTGTCATTGAATTCAATGCACATTTAGATGTATTTTGACCTGACCCTCCCAAGGGTTCTGGTGTGGTTGGGTCAGAGAATGGCCAGTATCAGATCCTTACCCTTCTTTTTGAGAGTGAGAGCTGCCTTAAGCATGGGGTCATTGACCTTTCTTGCTGCAAGCGCCTTGCCAAAGATCTGATTTATAGAGAAATTCTCAGGGAGGCAGATTCCAGAGTCCTCAGAACATTTCCTGCAGTTTTCTTCCATGAATGGCATCCACTGTGAAAGTGAATTGATGAGGGATTGTCAATTGGTGAAACCACTTGGAAAAGCTTTGGGCAGCATTTACTGAATCTGAACACATGCATTCCCTGTGATCCAGCAATTCCACTCCTGGACATATACCCAGTGGAAATGTCTACATATGTTCACCAAAAGACATGGACAAAAATGTTCAGAGCAGCACTTTTCCTAAGAACTGCAAACTAGAAACTATTCAAATCCCCCTGTTAGAGCTGAATTGGGTCCCCTACAAATTCATGTTGAAGTCCTAACCCCTAGGACCTCAGAATGTGATTGTCCTTTGGAAAGAGGGTCTTTAAAGAGATCATTAAGGTAAAACTGTGGTTCTCCAAGGACAATGGTGCTTCAAGGACAAAGGGCGACCCTGCCTGTAAAAGTTGCAGCGTTACACCCCCTACAGGACTCTTACTCGCTCCCCCCACCGTGTTGCGATGGTTACGAAATTCCTGAGCCCACCTGGGCAACGCCCACCTGGGCAACGGGACCTGTCCCAAATAAGGAAAGGCATCTTGCCTGTCCCACTCCACCCTATAGAAGGAAGGTATATGTGCCTCAACCAATCCGTACATGAAAATTTCACCTCAGACCGTTCCTTTGTTTTCTGGCTATAAAAACTGATGAATAGCACATGTTTGGGCTCGACTCTCCCAGACTACTAGGAAGTCAGCCGGCCGACTGTTCAGGCAGCCACCCCTCCCTCTAATAAATTCTAGCATCTTTACATTCTGCCTTGTGTCTGGAAATTCTCTTCCAACCTGCATTCGGACCATGACAAAAATGAGGTCGGGGGGCCCTAATCCAATCTGACTGGTGTCCTTATAAGAACAGGCGATTAGGACACAGACACACAGAGAAGAAAGAATGTGAGGACACAGGGAGAAGTCGGCCACCTACAAGCCAAGGAGAGAGGCCTCATTAGAAACCAACCCTGCCAACACCTTGGTCTTGGGCTTCTAGCCTCCAGAGCTATGAGAAAATAAACTTTGTTGTTTAAGCCACCCAGTCTGTGGTATTTTGTTATGGTAGCCCTAGAAAACGAATACACCCATTAATAGCAGAATGGATTGTGGTATACTTATACACTATCATAGTAGCACTCTTGTATACAATAGTCCCGAACTAAAAATTACCCAAATACCCATCAATAGCAGAATGATAGAGAGCCCAGAAAAAAACCCCACATGTCGGGGCTTCCCTGATGGTGCAGCGGTTGAGAGTCCACCTGACGATGCAGGGGACACGGGTTCGTGCCCGGGTCCAGGAGGATCCCACATGCCGCGGAGCGGCTGGGCCCGTGAGCCATGGCCGCTGAGCCTGCGCGTCCGGAGCCTGTGCTCCACAACGGGAGGGGCCCCGGCAGTGAGAGGCCCGTGTACCGGAAAAAAAACCCAAAAAAACAAAAACCACATGTCAATTAATTTATGACAAAGGAGCCAAGAGTACATGATGAGGAAAGAACAGTCTCTTCAATAAATGGTGTTGGGAAAACTGTATAGTCACGTGTAAATGAATGAAATTCATACCACTTTTCCCTTTCCTTACCTTCCAACAATATTACTGCAGCTTTTTTTTAATTGATTCACGCTTCAGTAATGTTTATCCCCAATGGTATCATTACAGTTTTCATTCACGAGTTGCCAAAATATGTGTGTGTGTGTGTGTGTGTGTATGTGTGTGTGTGTGAAAGAGAGAGAGTTTTAAAGTGACCACAATTCACTACACTCCCCACGCTAAGACCACACTTATCTTCACTGGAAAGGTGGGCTTTGCTTTCTATTATGCTGGGCCCCAAGTTCCCTGTTAGACTGATAGGTGGCTGTAATTCATAAATTAAAAAAAAAAAAACAGACTGCTTTATCTGTGTGCTCATAGAGTAGGTTCTCAATAGCCTTTCTTCTCTGAGGCACTAATTGAGAATTCAAGTGGTTTTAGATCCTGATTACTTTATTTAAAAATAATCTCCAACTACACTTCAATTTAAAAAAATCTAGGTTGTAGTAACAACAATAACTACTATTTACTGAGCACTGATTACGTGCCAGGCACTGTGCTAAGCACTTTTCAAGCTTCATAACAACCTAGGAGACGGAGCATGTTATCGATCTCATTTTACAGGTGGCAAAACAGAGACTTTGAGAGGTTCTGTGACTCGCTGTGCTCACACGTCTGTAAGTGGGAGCTATGATCCAAATCCCGACATCAGATTCCAAAGTCCACCCATCTTATAGTTGGTAATTAACAAAACTTCCCCTGACCCAGTGGCCCTTGTCTGAAAATAAGTACTCTAAGCATGACTACTGTCAAGAAAACAGAAAATAATAGGTTGGCAAGGATGTGGAAACACTGGAAACCTTGTGCACTGTTGGGAGGAAAATGTAAAATGGTGCAGCCACTATGGAAAACACTGTGGTGGTTCCTCAAAAAATTAAAAATGGAAAACTACCCTATGATCCAGAAATCCCACTTCTGTATATATATCTAGAAAAACTGAAAGCAAGATTTCAAACCAATATTTGTACACCCATGCTCCTAGCAGCATTAGACATGGTGACCAAAAGGAGGAAGTAACCTAAATGTCCATCGATAGACGAATGGATAAACAGAATGTAGTCTATCCATACAATGGAATATCATTAATCCTTAAAAAAGGAAATTGTGACACATGCTACAATATGGATGAACCTTGAAGACATCATGCTAAGCAAAGTAAGCCAGTCACTAGAGGACAAATATTGCATGATTCCAGTTATATAAGATATGTATAGTAGCTAAATAGAGGCAGGAAGTTCAATAGTGGTTGCCAGGGGTTGGGGAAAGGAGGAATGGGCAGTTGCTGTTTAATGGGTATAGAGTTTCAGTTTTGCAAGATGAAAAGAGTTCTGGAGATGGACGGTGGTGTTGGTTACCCAGCGTGAATATACTTAACACTACCGAATTGTATACTTAAAAATGATCAAGGTGGTAAATTTTATGTGATGTGTATTTAACCACAGCTAAAGGGGGAAAAAAAAAACCTACTCTAGCTGCTGTAATTCCCTGGCATAGATCTTCAAGGGCTTGGAAATTTCCTAATCACTGGGGTGTGGCCCTCTGCTTGGATCAAAGAGACAATAAACAATCTGAAATGTCTCCAGCCCAGTCTTGTGAGTTAAGTGTTATAAGAGGTAAACGGGTGAGGCAGACATGGCCCTGCCCTCACGGAGCTTACAGTCAGCAGGGGAGATGGGTGTGTAGTTACAGAACACCTTTGCAAGGGGGGTCTATGAGGTATCGCCACACCTGGGAAAATGTGATCTCTCCCTTCATCATGCGGGCACTGGAACCATCTGGGCCTCCTTTCATGAAAGCTCCATTTAGAAAGCCTCTGCAAGACACAAAGAAACATCAGGAACGTTCAAATGACTTCATCACAATGGCAGGTAGGGGACATACACCTTGATTTTGGACTTCTAGCCTCTGGAACTGTTGTTGAAGCCACCCAGTCTGTGGTCCTTCGTTATGGTAACCCTAGGTGATTAATACACCTCAATTCATATCCATCTCTTATATGTGGTCCCGAGGAGTAGCAGACACAGAGAGAGCAGCTCATTGCCCTCTCACTTCCCTACATTACAAAACATAAGGTCCCATTCCACTTTCTTGATCATTTCCCACACCCAGTGGTGGCTGAGCTACCCCAGCATGGCTGGCTGGGTGACATCAGCCAGATAATGGATGGCACGTACCTGGCATGCACGCACAACTCTGAATCCCTGGCTGACTTTAATAACCCATCACCACATCATATACCACTGCATCCAGACACTGATTTATGATCCTTCTTAGTACGGTGTCCCAGGCAAATATTTACAGTGGGCTGGAATTGGCACCCCAGTTAAAAGTATTTATCATTCCCATGTTAAGAGAACAAATATCTGGGAGTTTCATATCTGATAAAAGTCAACAACCTTTTACCTGACTAACCCTGTTACAGGTAACAATAATCAACTTTAGACAAAACATTAAAAAAATATATATCCCTACTATTTGTAGCCTTGCTCAATTTTCCAGCATCAGCAGTGGCTTTGGCACATCTTTGCCATCAGTTATCTTTTTTAAAAAACAGCACTGTTAAATTATACTTACATAACACCCAATTCACATGTTCTCAGTGTACGATTCAATGACTTGTAGTAATTTTATAGAGGTGTGCAAATATCACCACGTTGCAGTTTTAGAGCATTTCCATCACCTCGAAAAGATCCCTTGTGCCCTTCCCCAGCTGCCGTCCAATTTCAAAGAGCAATATACGGTTCAACTCAACAATCTTGCACGGAGGACCGAAGGCATCAAGGCATTGTGCCAGATGCCGTGATATAAAAATGGAAAAATTTGGATCTATTCTTAGGGAGCTCACAGGAGAACAAGGGAGGCAACATATAAACAAATAACTATTACACAGTGGGTGAGTGAGATGGAAAAGCAAAGGGAAAATGTTTTTTCTGCCTGAAGATTAGGGGCTGATAAAAGAAGGGAAGTGAAGGAAGAATACAGCTCTAGAGGAAGGAGATGTCAATGACTCTATAGGACAGAAGCAGGCAGTATTTTTTAAAAAGGAAGCAATTTGAGATAAGTTGTTGGCATTGGAAAGCATGACTTTCAAATTTTAAGGTTAATAAAAGCAGTGAACAGTAAAATGGCTATTACAGAAAATGAAATTAGTGAATCAAAAGACCCACCAAATTTTGCAAGAACAAAGAGTAAAATGATGAAGCAATTAAAATTAATGTGCAAAAAGATAAGACCTATGGAGGTCAAATTCCTTCAATAAACAAGAAAAATCACAGAAGGAAAGATCAGAGAAGCAATAGTCAAAGGAATAAGGGGAGAAGATGTCTCTGGGCTGAAGAAAAATCTGAGCTCTCAAATCAAAAGTGTTCGCCGAACACCAGGCAAAATTAATGAAAAAAGAATCACAGCAGGCATAGGGTAGGGAAATGTTTCAATTCCTGGGATAAGAAAGTATAACAGACAACGTTTTGTGTAGAAAAACAGATTATACACAAAAGAAAAACAATTCAGACTGATAACAGCCTTCTATTCTGCAACTTTAAATGTAAGAAGATTGTGGAGTAATACTCAGGAGACACTGAGATAAAAAGATAACAAGAAACAATACCCCCCAAATCTATCCACAGACAACTTACTTTACGTCCAGTGAGGCTCCTTTGTTTTAGAGATCTTGGATGATTTCAATAACTGACCAGTTGGGTCATTTGGTTTTTTCTCTTCCCATGCTTTAAATTCCCGCTCTTGTTTTAAATTCACCAATAAAGAGTGAGCCCACAAAACCACGGTGGTCCCCACCATGATCCCCAGTTAAAGCATAATTCGGGCCCATGTGCTCGCTCTCTTTCTCCTCACGTCCTCACTGTGTGACCCTAGGAGTGCTGTGTAATTTCCAGGTCTTGTAAGTAACAAACCTTTACTTTTTTTCTCTGATGACTACTCCTGAAGGGCATCTTGCAGTCACAGTAAGAAACACAAGGGCTGGTCCGACCACAACATTGATTATTGATAAGCTGAGAACCACACAAACCACTTTCAGACAGGTAAAACTAATACAATTGTTTGCTATCATGCCTTTCCTGGAAAAAAAATTCAAGAAAGACTTCTAGTCAACTTAAAAATAGATCAAAATAAAAATCTTGAGGACAGGAAAGAGACTGTTTAAAAGAAATGATAACAAACAATTGGAAATGAAATTTTTTTAAAATATCATTTGCCTTAAAATTAAAAAACAAAAATAAATCTAATGAAAGAGGTTTAAGACCTCTACACTAAAAACTACAAAATTAAGAGAAATTAAAACCCTTGAAAGAGATTAGTGGGGGACCTTCAAGATGGCAGAGGAGTAAGACGTGCAGATCATCTTCCTCCCCACAAATACATCAGAAATACATCTACACGTGGAACAACTCCTACAGAACACCTACTGAATGCTGGCAGAAGACCTCAGACCTCTCAAAAGGCAAGAAACTCCCCCAGGGACCTTCACGGAGGAGTAAGACATGGAGATCACCTTCCTCCCCAAAAATACATCAGAAATACATCGACATGTGGAACAACTCCTACAGAACACCTACTGAACGCTAGCAGACCTCAGACTTCCCAAAAGGCAAGAAACTCCCCACGTACCTGGGTAGGGAAAAGAAAAAGAAAAAACAGAGACAAAAGAATACGGACAGGACCTACACCAGTGGGAGGGAGCTGTGAAGGAGGAAAGGTTTCCACACAGAAGCCCCTTCGCGGGCGGAGGCTGCGGGTGGCGGAGTGGGGAAGCTCCAGAGCCGCGGGGGAGAGCACAGCAACAGGGGTGCAGAGGGCAAAGCGGAGAGATTCCCGCACAGAGGACCAGGGCCGACCGGCACTCACCAGCCCGAGAGGCTTGTCTGCTCACTCGCTGGGGCGGGCGGGGCCGGGAGCTGAGGCTCGGCGGGGAGCGCAGGGAGAGGACTGGGGGTGGCGGCGTGAACACAGCCTGCAGGGGGTTAGTGCGCCACGGCTGGACGGGAGGGAGCCCGGGAAAATGTCTGGAGCTGCCGAAGAGGTAAGAGACCATTGTTTCGTGGGGTGTGAGGAGAGGGGATTCAGAGCACCGCCTAAACGAGGGCCAGAGACGGGCGCGAGCCGCGGCTAAAAGCACGGACCCCAGAGACGGTCATGAGACGCTAAGGCTGCTGCTGCCGCCACCAAGAAGCCTGTGTGCGAGCACAGCTCACTATCCACACCTCCCGAACACACGGCATGCCTCAGGCTGTTGCAACATTACTCCAGCCTCTGCCGCTGCAGGCTCACCCCGCATTCCACACCCCTCCCTGCCCCTGGCCTCAGTGAGCCAGAGCCCCCAAATCAGCTGCTCCTTTAACCCCGTCCTGTCTGGGTGCAGAACAGCTGCCCTCAGGCGACCTACACGCAGAGGCGGGGCCAAATCCAAAACTGAGCCCCGGGAGCTGTGAGAACAAAGAAGAGAGAGGGGAATCTCTCCCAGCAGCCTCAGGAGCAGCGGATTAAATCTCCACAATCAACTTGATGCACCCTGCATCTGTGGAATACATGAATAGACAACGAATCATCCCAAATCGAGGAGGTGGACTTTGGGAGCAACTGTAGACTTGGGGTTTGCTTTCTGCACCTAATTTTTTTTCTGGTTTTATGTTTATCTTAGTTTAGTATTTAGAGTTTATTATCATTGGTAGATTTGTTTATTGATTTGGTTGCTCTTCTGCTTTTTTAAAAAATATACAGATATATATATTTCTTTCCTTTTTCTCTTTTTCTGAGTGTGTACGTGTATGCTTCTTTGGGTGATACTGTCTGTATAACTTTGCTTTGTCCTAGGGTGTTCTGTCTGCCCATTTTTCTTGTTGTTGTGGGGGTTTTTTTTTTTTTTTTTTTGGATAGTTTTTAGCACTTGTTATCACTGGTGGATTTGTTTTTTTGGTTTGGTTGCTCTCCTGTTTTTGTTTTACTACTTTTTTCTTTTTAATAATTTTTATTTTTTATTTTAATAACTTTATTTATTTTATTTTATTTTTCTTTCTGTCTTTCTTTTTTTTTTTTTTTTCCTCCCTTTTCTTCTGAGCCGTGTGGCTGACAGGGTCTTGGTGCTCCGGCTGGGTGTCAGGCCTGAGCCTCTGAGGTGGGAGAGCCGAGTTCAGGACATTACTCCACCAGAGACCTCCTGGCCCATGTAATATCAAACAGTGAAAGCTCTCCCAGAGATCTCCATCTCAACGCTAACACCCAGCTCCTGTCAATGACCAGCAAGCTACAGTGCTGGACACCCTATGTCACACAACTAGCAAGACAGGGACACAACCCCACCCATTAGCAGAGAGGCTGCCTAAAATCATAATAAGGTCACAGACACCCCAAAACACACCACCAGACGTGGACCTGCCCACCAGAAAGACAAGATCCAGCCTCATCCACCAGAACACAGGCACCAGGGCCCTCCACCAGGAAGCCTATGCAACCCACTGAATCAGCCTTACCCACTGGGGGAAGACACCAAAAACAACAGGAACTATGAACCTGCAGCCTGTGAAAAGGAGACCCCGAACACAGTAAGTTAAGCAAAATGGGAAGACAGAGAAACACACAGCAGATGAAGGAGCAAGGTAAAAACCCACCAGACCAAACAAATGAAGAGGAAATAGGCAGTCTACCTGAAAAAGAATTCAGAGTAATGATAGTAAAGATGATCCAAAATCTTGGAAATAAAATGGAGAAAATACAAGAAATGTTTAACAAGGACCTAGAAGAACTAAAGAGCAAACAAACAATGATGAACGACACAATAAATGAAATTAAAAATTCTCT